TCACCATGCCTAGCATAGACCTCCATTAGGGCTGCTGGGGCAGCTGAGCCCAGCTCCCCAGGGAGGCCTCAGGGCCCTGGGCCCCTAGGCTGTTGGGTCGGCACATAGTAGGTGCTCAATAAGCGCACGCTGAATTCACCAGCCCAGCACACAAGGGTAGTTCACCTCTGTGCCCCTGCACCAGCCCCTCCTCTGCTCTGGATTCAGGGACCAGAGATGACACAGAGCCCATGGGGCTGAGGCCTAGTCCCCCCAAGCCCATGGGGTCCTGGCCTGCTCTTCTGCGTGGACCTGCCAGCAGCCCAGGGTCACCCAGTGGGAGCACACCAAGGCGGGGTTGGCAGGACGATGGAGGGAAACCGTCCTAAGACGGCAATGAACGCCACCTGCACACTGTGAGTCCTGACGGGACCAGAGGCCGCAGCGCCAAGAAGAACCACCTCGAGATCACCCACACCCACCGCACGGCCCCGTCAGGACCGAGGATGCTGCAAGTGTGAGCACACACGCGTGTGCACTGTCAGTGGTGTGCAGACCACAGGACCCTGGCGAGGCCATTTGGCAACAGTCAACAGATGACACCCCACCCACTGCATCCTGTCACCGACTCTAAGAAGGCATCGCTGGGGACAGCTGGACCTTTCAGTGATCGGTCCTAGGACAATCGAAGGCCCATTAAGTGCACCAGCACATCTTGATGTCCCCCCAGCCACCCAGCGGACACAAAGCCACTGGAGACAGAAGATTTAAGGGACAGCTTCTAAAAGCAGCCAGGGAGAATGGGCTTTGGGACCTTGGGCTAGGACACAGGGCAAGGCTAAAGATGCCGGAGAACTGGCTGTCACTCTTGAACAAAGAGACGCTGCCCATCGGGAGACACGGCCAGAGAGTGGGAAAGCAGTGCCTTCGTCCTCGTTTCTGGGAGTGAATCCACTGAGTGACTGTGCGGCTACTAATTTATGCAACTATGCATTTGGGTCGCTCCTGGGTTTGGGGCTCTTGTGCCTTATAAATATTCCTGCCCACGTCCTCGGTGGATCTAAGCCGCCCTTTCCTTTGAGCAAATGCTCAGGGGCGGAGTTGCCGGCTGAGGCTGCACCGGGCTCTGCCCTTCCGCAGAGCTGCACAGAGTCTCCACCAGCAGAGTGTGGGCGTCCAGGGCGCCGACGGCCGGTGGCACTGGGCACCATCAGCCCTGAGCTTAGCCGCCTAGCGGGGGGTCACGGGATCTGAGGTTTGAGTATGCGTTGTCCCTGAAGGACAGCAGTGGACGCCCTTCCACATCCTTCGGCCGCGTGCCTGCCCCGTGTGAAGTTTCTGCTGAGCTCCCGGGGCCATTTTTAGGTCTGATCATTGGCACCTGTCGTGACTCCACAGATTCTGCAGAGGTGAGCCCCTGGTGGACACATGGACTGCAGATATTTTACTCCAGCCTCGGTTCTCCTTTTGAGCATTAGTCACTCTTGAAAACCTGTCAGCAGAGGTTCTGAGAGTCACGGCCACCATGGATCCACCCAGAAGGCGGAGGCCCTGGGCCTGAGTGCAGGGTGGGGAGGGCTCACTAGAACTGGACACAGGGCCCGCCTGGCGGGTCCCTGCCCTCCCCGGCCCCCGACTCTCACCTGAGGCATCCCCTCGGAGCTCTCTGCCAGCACCACTGCCTCGGCCCAGGGAAGCAGGGGCAGCTGCGCCTGTGTCCAGACCCCAGCTCAGATGACCAGCCTCTCACATAGCACCAGGCAGCCCAGGCCTGTCCCCGGGGCCACCATCCAGACCTCCTTCTCCCACTGCAGCTCAGCCATGCCTCCCACCCCTCCTCTGAGGTTACCCACAGCCTCTGCTGGCTGACTGCAACTTACATGCTGTGTGCCCTCGGGCAAGTGACCTCACCTCTCTGAGCCAAGTGTGAAATGAAGATGATAATATACTTCCCTCACAGCACCCTGCTGAGAGTAGTGCCCAGCATGTACTGAGGCCCCTGTAAATACCGGATGTCTCAACCTGCGTCACCCCGGGGTCACCCTCTGGGCCCCTGGGATTCCAGGTGCCATCTCAGCGCCTGCCCTGCGAGTGACAACGCCCACCCCTGGGAACTTCCAGGCCTCTGGGGGACACAAGGACACCCCCAGCTGCCCGGGCCACACTCAGCTGCCCACGGTGCTGCCCGGGGCCCTGTGGCTGGGTCACCCTCACAGCACCCCACGGTGGGGAAACTGAGGCACGGAAGTTTGGCCACTTGCTCCCAGAGTCACAAGGCTGGCAAGTGGCCTTGGCAGAATTTGACCCCGAAGGCCAGGCGTCATGCCCCTCGCCCCACACCACCCCAGCCCCCCACCTGCCGGGAGACACCCCCGTCTTTCCAAGAGCCCCTCGGCCTCCCGTCCTCAGACTGGAGAAGCCTGCCGTGCGCTGGCCGCGCACCCGCTCAGAATGGAGGCCGGTGAAGTCCTCCACAGCCCGAGGCCCCGCACAGGGCCTGGCCGCTGGAAGGGGCTGATGGTGGGCCACGTCCGGACACCCACACAGGGGCCGGTGCTTGGAGGGAGCCTTGCTGTGTGGCCCTGGCCACGTCCCTTCCCTCTCCAGGCCTCAGTGTCACCTGCACGGTGGGAACTGGACGGAGGCTCCCGGAGGCCAAGCAGACGATGAGCACCCGACCCCAGGTCCCCCATGTCCCCATGTCCCCTCCCCCACCTGTCACAGCAGCCAGCTCGGGGCTGGGGCCACCTGACAGGGCCAGGCCTGACCACGGGGAGGGGACGTGCAGGGACCAGGCGGGAAGACGGCATGGCAGAAGGAGCTGCCATCCTGGTCCCCGCCGTCCTGGTCCCCGCCATCCTGCCGGGCTGGAGGCACACTGAGCCGTCAGCTGGGGGACCCCCAAGCCGCCCCAGGCCCCAGGAGGAGAGGAACCAGCAGAAGCCCCTGGTCTCCTAGAGAGCGGCCTCCAGGCCTCCCCTGCCCAGGAGGAGGCCCCACGCGGCGGAGCCTGGATAACAGCATGACCAGGAACGGTCCACGGGGGCAGAGGGACAGAGGAGCGGGGCTTCACCCTGAACCCCCAACGCCGAAGCTCCTGCCCGCCCCTCTCTGTCCTTGAAGGCCAGGCCACCCCGTCCCCTCCCCGACGGCCCCAGCCACAGCTCAGGTGGACATTCATGTAACCCCCAGCCCACGCAGGACCCTCCCCACGAGGCAGCCCTTCCCTGCCTACCCAGCGGGCCCAGCGCTCCCTGCAGCGACATGGCCTCCAGATCCACGGGACGGGGACAGAGAGAAGAAGCTCAGCCACCCCCGCGCTGGGTCCCCACACCCCCAACAGGCCCTCGGCCCGGGAGCGTCACTCAGGAGAGACATTCAGGATCCGCGCCCAGCCTGGTGCTCCCCAGGGCAGGACCCATCTCAGCAGGACAGAGAGCCACCGCTGGGCCGTGCCCAGGGAGAGAAGGGACGAGAAGGCTCTCCTGTTCTGGGCTCCCGCGTCTAGCGCACAGTAGGAGCGACACAATCGGTTTTTCTGACTGACTGGCTGCAGCCTGGGAGCTGGTTCTGGGGCCCCACCCTGATGGCGCTGCCTCTGCGCCGTCCTGCCCTGCCTCCTTCTGCCCGGGGACGGTGGCGCGCGCGGGCGAGGCCCCACTCACAGGGTGAAGTTCTCCTCCAGGAAGCAGCGGTTACGCAGCAGCCCCGCCCACAGCTGCACCCCGATGATGCCGAAGATGAAGAAGACGAAGAAGCAGAGCAGGAGGACGTTCCCCAGCATGGGCAGCGTGTCCAGCAGCAGGTTCACCAGGATCCGCATGCCTGGAAGGAAGGGCAGGCGGGGGGCGCGTCGGCGGGAGCCGAGGTCCAGGGAGGACAGGAGCAGGGGACGGGGATGGGGACGCACTGCCCAGGCGCCCAGGGCACCCGGCCTGCACGTGTGCCCCTCTACCCAGAAGGCCAGGAGAACAGCTCCGGGTGTGGACACACTGTGCGCACCCCCCCAGGGCTGGCCCAAGCTGGATCTCCAGTCTCCGTGACCCTGAGAGGTCGAGGATCCCGCCTCCTCTTCACGCGGGAAGCCAAGGCGAGGCTCAGAGACCAGGAGTCACTTGCCTGGGCCACTCAGCTAACAGCAGGGTCTGATGGACACCAGGTCCCTCCCGCCCTCCTTCCAGAACCCACTGTCTCACCCACACTCTGCCCTCTTCCTGGGACACCCCAGCAGACTCCCATTCAACCACCACAGCCCGAAAAATGCCCTTTCTGGCCGCTTCCCCGGCCCTTCCTCACCCCCTCCCAGGTAGAGCTCATCCCTCTCTCTTCTGCTCTAGGCAACCTCAGCACCTGTCACCTCGCCCCAGCTGCCATGCACATCTGTGCAGGTTGCACACTGCAAAAGCGAGGCCTCTCCATGGGCACCCACACCCTCGCAGCCTGGCATAGCTTCCTTTTCACCATCCTGACTCATCTGCTGAGCTGTGAGCTCCTAAGGGACAGAGCCTGTGTCTGAGCCACCTCAGTGTTCCTA